CTCGATCCCAGGACCCCTGGGATCATGACCTGAGCTGAAGGCAGACGCTTAACGACTGAGCCACCCAGGCGCCCCTTAAATAAAAACTTTTAAAAATAAAATGAAAAAAGAAAAATTTAGACTTGTGAGGTACTGAGTATACAACAGTGAAAAAGACACATTCCTTATCTAGTTATAGAATCTACTGGTTAAACACACAATTACAGTACAATATGATATCTGGCTATCTGGGGTGGCTGGAAAGAAGATCAATAGCTTAATGCTGGAAAGTCGGGGAAATCTTCATCCCAGGGAAAGAGGGCTAAAAGAACAGCATATGGTGAGGCTCAGAAGTGCTGCAAATAAGCCAAATCACCTATATTTTGGGAGGGATAACTTTTTGTGTATTGATGTACTTTGAAGCTGCGAAGAGACAAGTACTGTGAGTTTTCCAGATAGTTTCTGAAAGTGACCTGTCCTTGAACAGATTTATAGTTTCAGTGAATTGGTCTAATTTGGAAAGCCTTGCTACATTCTCTGCTACTGGTTTAAATCAGAATTTTTTAAAAATATGAACTTCTTATGAGTATGATTTCAAAAACTAAAAAAGACATTCCTTTTTTGTCCTTTTTTGGGCTCATCCTCTTTTGTCCATTGCACAAAGAGTAGGGTAGTTTCTTAAATCTGGGTCCCCTTTTTACTGCATAGTTGAATATAATCCCTTCCATACCCATGGTTTCGCTACCACCTATGACTTTTAAATGTATACCTCCACCCACCTTTACCTTTCCAGCTTTCATATATCCATTTCCTTGATATTTCTTTTTTGATATCTCGAAAGCACCTCAAGTTCAACATGCCTAAAACCAAATGCATGGTTATCTCTAATGAGTCTGATTCTTAACCAGTGTTTCCTATTTCAGTTAACAATCCTACCATCCACTTCTGAAAATTTGAAAACTATGCATTATTGATTTATTCCTGTCCGTCATACCTCTATAACCAATTATTACCAAGTCCTATCAATTTCATCTCCCAAATATCCTCCAAATCCATCCTTTTCCCACCATCTACACAAGTGCAGTCTTTTCCAAATTGCCATAATCTGTTGCCAAGACCACTGCAATAGCGATTATTCATTCTGGCCTTTCTCCATTAGTTCTCCACACTGGAGCCATAATGATCTTTTTGAAATGCAGTTCTGACTAGATTTTTCTCTTAAAATCATTCATTGCTGTCTCACTATTCTTAAGGCAAAACTTCTTTGTTAAGCATAATATCATTTTGTCTCTTTCCACCTCTCCATCCTCACTTTAATATACCTACCACTCTCCACCTATCTCTGCTTCAGCCATACAAATCTTTCTTCAGTCACTGGTTCTCATATTCCCTTCATCCATTTATAGACTCAACAAATATCTGTTGAGTATCTACTTTGTAAGGGGACAATCACATATGTCATTGAGCACAATATACATTGACACTTGAACAACATGGGTTTGAACTGCAGAGATCCACTTACATGTGCATTTTTTTAATAAATATAGTGTAAATCTATTTTCCTTATGGCTTTCATAATAACATTTTATTTTCTCTAGCTTACTTTATTGTAAGAATACAGTATATAGTACGAATACAGAATATGTGTTAATGTGTTAATCATTTATGTTATCCATAAGGCTTCTGGTCAACAGTAGGCTTTTAGTAGTTAAGTTTGGGGGGAAGCATCAGAAGTTATATGGATTAAAATTTGTGGGATTTTTTTTTTACTTCCTGATGAGGAGTTGGCACTCCTAACCCTCACGTTGTTCAAGGGTCAACTGTACAAAAGTCCCTACTGTCATAGAGCTTGCATCTATTAAGGGGAGATCGACAATAAATATGTAATATATGTGGTAAATGAAGGCAAATGTGGTGGAGAAAAATAAGAGCCAACCAGGAAGGGGACTAAGAAGTGCCAGATTGTGGGGGGCAAGGTTCACTTTTAAATAAGGTGGTCAGAGAAGGGGACATTTGAGGGGATCTGAAGTAGGAGGAGGAATAAGTTGTACAGATACTTGGAGGAAGAACATTCCTGTGAAGAGAACAGCCAGTACAAAGGCCTGTGGGCAGGAGCAAAGAATAACAATGTGGCTGGAGCGCAGCGAGTGCAGGGGAGGAAGATAACGTGAGATCACAGAGAAAGGAGGTCACATAGGTGATTGAAAGGACTTTGACTTTTTAATTAAAATAGGAAACCATTGGAGGGCTTGGAGCAGATCAGTTGCATGATCTGACTTTTTAAAATGATTGCTTCTTTGAAATTGTGTTGAGCATAGACCAGGGCGAAGCAAGTGTAGAAGCAGAGACACTAGTTAGGAAGCTAAAGTAATGTGTAAGACTGATGAATCACAGACCTGTACCTCTGAAACAAATAATACATTATATTTTACAAAAAAAAAAAAAAGATAGTAGGAAGGGAAAAATGAAGGGGGGGAAATCAGAGGGGGAGACGAACCATGAGAGACTATGGACTCTGAGAAACAAACTGAGGGTTTTAGAGGGGAGGGGGGTGGAGAGATGGGTTAGCCTGGTGATGGGTATTAAGGAGGGCACGTACTGCATGGAACACTGGGTGTTATATACGAACAATGAATCATGGAACACTACATCAAAAACTAATGATGTAATGTATGGTGACTAACATAACCTAATAAAATAAAATTAAAAATAAAAAAAAAATAAAAAAAATAAAGTAATACTCCAGGTGAGAGGTGATAGTAGTAGCTTGGACCAAAGTGCTAACAGTGGAGGCAATGGGAAGAGGTCCACAGTCTGGATCTATTATGATAGTTTAGCCAACAAGTTTTACTGATAGATTAGATATGAGATGTGAGAGTATAGGAGTCAAAGATGACTCCAGAGTTTTCAGGCCGAACAATAAGAAGTAAGGAATTACCATTTAATGTTGTGGGAAAGTCTCCAGGTTTGTGTACGGAGCTAGGGAGGTGGAAGTCAAGAGTTTTGTTTGGCCATGTAAAGTTTGAGATGTCTCTAGGATATTCAAGTAGAAGTGTGGAGTAGGCAAGTTGGGTAAATGAGTATAGAGATGAGATGAAAGACCTGTCTGTAGATAGAATAATTGGATTTCATAGTAGTGTTTTAATAGCAGTTAAAGCCTGAGAATTGTTGGTGTCACAAAAAGAGGTGCTCCATAGAGTTTAGGTTGATCTGGAATCATCTGCAAAGGGGACTATGCAGGAGCAGCCAGTGAACACAGAGTGTGGTGTCCTAAAAGCCAAGTGAAAGTGGTTAAAGAGGAAGGAGTACTAAGTATGTGAAGCGCTGCTCTAGATTAAGTGAGATAAGGATTGGTAACTGACCACTGTATTTAGTAGAATGGAGGTCATTGAGGATCTTAAGAGCAGTTTTGGTGGAGTAAAGAGTATAAAAGTTAGATGGTCATTTTATTTAAGAGAGAATGGGAGAAGAACTGGAGACAGTGAGTATAGATGCAGTACCTTTGTACTGTTTTCTTTGTCCAGACTTTTTTAGCCTGTCTTTGACTTCCCTTCCTATAGATCTTAGCTCAAATACTGCTTTCTCAGTTTCCCTGATCTGATTAAATGCCCCTATTATAAATATACTCTTATTTTAACGTATGTCTCTACTTGCTAATAAGTTTAAAATGTAGTTTTATAATGGCCTGTGATAATTTTGTGAAAGTGTGCCTGCTTTTTAAAAATTTATTTATTATTTGAGAGAGAGTGTGTGTGTGCAGGGGGGCAGGGAAGGGGCAGAGGGAGGGAGAGAGAATCCTAAGCAGACTCCACACCCAGCATGGAGCACGTCAGGCTTGATCTCATGACCCTGAGATCATGACGTGCACCAAAATCAGGAGTCGGATGCTTAACTGACTGAGCCACCCAGGTGCCCCAGTGTGTGTTTGCTTCTAAAGCTTAAGCACAGAAGAGCCGCAACTGTGCTGATTTTTGCTCATCATCTGCAGCT